GGTGGGGGTGGGGTGAAGGAGAAGTGTGTGCCTATGCAATCCTAGAAAAGTGGAGGGGCAATGTGGGGTTGAGCTCAGCCCTCAAGCGGGGCAGAAAGCACTGCAGACCCCTTCTGAACGCAGAATACGACTGAGGAACGAGGAATGAAATTTAGGAATTGGGCGAAATGGAGATTTTAAGGGGAAGCAGAGGGAAGAGACGGGCTTGGGTGAGTTCTGCTGGAGACCCAAGTCCCCTCGGGAATCCTCACTATCTGTACTCTTCCCGGGGTGGGTCAAGGTCTGGCTCCTCGTGAGAGCCGTGGTCTACCTCAGGGGCGGGTGGCCAGGGGTTTTCTGGGGGCTGTGGTCCTGCTGGCCAGGGGTCGTCAGGCCGGGGAGGTTGAGGGGGATCAGTACTAGGAGGCTCCGGGGGCCAGACACCGGTGTCAGGCAGATCTCTCCAGGGACGGTTCGGGCCTGGAGGTGTAGGGTCATCAAACAGAGGGGGTACCCCTGGCCAGGGGTCACCAGGAATTGGGGGGCCCAGGGGTAATGTTGAGGAGTCCTCCTCCTCCTCCGGGGCTTCCGTTGGTTGGGGAGAGGGATGGTCCTCAATGCCTGAGATGCCTGCAAGAGGAGGAAGGAGAGGTAAGAGATGGTGAGTGACAATCACCCCCCATCCAGCTTCAGACCCAGACACAGAGCCCAGAGGTCAATGGGACCAGCACAGTCTGCACTGACCCCAGAAAGATCTTAAAGTGGCACCAAAGCATGCTCCATGCATTCCCCAAATACTGAAGCCACCATCGTGTAACATGAAACCCCTGGGCTGATCCGAGCCACTAGTGTAGCTAGAGTACTGACTTTAAGTGCCCAGAACCCCCTCTCCCCTGCCCCAGTTACGCTTCATGTGGCCCACAGGCCCCACCTCTGCAGTGACCCACCAGCTCATTGAATATTCCATCCATACACCCAAACTCTTTATCACATGCCTCTGCCTGAACCAGCAGAACTCAAGAGTCAAATGCCCCTGCTGCAACCCCTGAACTGTGCTCAAATGCATCCCCAGAGTCTCCCCAGCCTGTGCACCCCATCCCATCCCTGGCAGTGAGTCATCTTGACCACCTCCATCAGCCAGCTATCCTGGCCTCTGCCCAGCTCACCTCCGGCACACAGGCAAAGGACCAGGAGGCCCAGCAGCTTCCAGTTGAGCATCACGGCTGTCTGCTGGCCCCCAAAGGTGGGGTGCTCTGAGTCTGGGTGCCTGGGAACCCCAAGAGGCTTTATAGGAGAGGAAGAAGAGGAGGTGGCCAGTCTTTGGGGAGGGGCTGGCCCAGTGACAGGAGGAATCCATCAGAGCCTAACTGGTCAAACCCGTTTGCAAGGAGCCTGCCCTGGCGTCACTCATTTTAGTCCCCCAGCCCAGGACCCAGCTGCCAGGTCTCCCTATCGGTGACCCAGACCCAGGTGGCCCCACCCTTGTTTTCCTCTGTCCACACCCTGCAGCAATCTGTACCCTTCATCTCCATAATCACAGGGACGGCCACCTTTCATCCTCGGTAGCTGTTGGAAGCCACAGAATGGGAGCAAAGCCCGCAAACCCCGCGTGGGGAAGCATGGTAATTACAGGCCGAGGCAGGACGTATGTAAGGTCAGCTAGCACCCCAACCTAGCAGGGACCCCCTTTCCCTACCCCCTCCTTCCCTCAGCACCAGGCAGGCTGCCCTTTGGCACGCTCTTCAGTCACAGGGGGACCTCCCAAGCAGTGACATCCCAGAATTCCAGGGGAAACCCCAGGGTGAAGGAGTCACCAGAATTTCCTGGTTCCTGTCCCCATGGAGAGCTGGCTGCATCAACAAGAGGCATTCCTCTTCCTCCTCCCTCAGGCTGGCTCCCAGGCATGGGCCCTGCCCCGGGCCTGCTCCTGGTGTCTTGGCCCCCTTCACCTGTCTCTGAGAACAACACTCCAAAGTGTCCAAACTAAATTCCATTCTTCCCTCAGTTCCCCACCTCATCTGTTCCCCTGCCATTTATGGGACTCTGGCCCTGCCTGTGGTTGCTACAGGAAACCATGCATCTTCTTCACCTGCAACCCTATTGACAGTGCATCCCAATTCAACCCCAGTCCAGCCCCACTGAAGTCCTGGGCCATCCCAAGGTTCTGACCCACCCCTGTTCTGCTTACCCCTCCCCACAGGTTGAATCACCTTTAGAGTAAAATCTCTGTCCCACCCCACTGAACCAGCCTGGCTCTTCTCCACAGCCCCTCCCAGTCCTGTCATCCAGGACCTTGCCTTCCTTCCTGACACTTGTTTGTCCTGAGGTCCCTCTCTGTGTCTGTCCCATGAGAATGTAAGTGCCTGGGCCCATCAAGCCCACTATGGTGGCCCTGGGTTAGGACAGTGTCTGCTCTGACACTCTGGAAAGTGAATGCTCAGTGTCCTGTCCCTGGCACTCATCATCACCCAAATAATTTTTTGGGGGGGGGTCGTTTTGAGACAGGGTCTCCCTGTAGCGCCAGTTGGCCTGGAACTCGCTATGTAGACCTGGCTGGCCTTGAACTCACAGAGATCCGCCTGCCTCTGCCTCCTGAGTGCTAGGATTAAAGGTGTGCAATAAAAAGTGAAGATGAGGGGCTGGAGAGATGCTCAGCATTCAAGAGCACTGGCTGCACTTACAGAAGACCCGGTTCAAATCCCAGCACCCAAATGGCAGTTAACAATGTTCATAACTCCAGTTCCAAGGGTGCACTTACACACTTGTAGGCAATTACACTCGTACACACAGAAATAAAGCAAAAATTTTTTTTCTTAAAGTGAAGATGAAGAAAATTGGGAGCTTCTTACAACACCTTCAAAACACGAGGAAAGGGTTTAGAGAGGAGCCCCGAGAGGGAGACGGTGGGGGACACACTTCTCACAGACCCAGGAGGACACAGCTGCCAAGAGAATCTGAGGCTCTCAGACACAGTTCCACGTGCTAGCTCTACTAGAGCCATCTTTATTTAGAGCAGAATTCAGACTCGGTGGTGGCTGGAGTCTCAAGGCTGGGGGGGGCGCTGGCTACCCCTGCCCACATCCTCCCACTCCCCACCCTCTTCAGGGCCCAGCCCCAGGCTGGCATCCCTTCTAGCCCCCGGCGGCTCAGTGGCTCAGCTGGGGACTGAAGCAGGAGTGTTCTGTGTATTCTGGTTGACTCCCTGGCAAACGGCTTCCTCTTTGGAAATGGCCTCGCTTAGGCCCTGCAGACTGTCGAGCAGGGCAGACAGGGACCCTGGGATGGAGGGCATGAAGGAACGGGCACCAGGGTGAGAGCAGGCACTGTGCTGCGCGGCTTGGGGTGGCACAGGATGGGATGACCCAGGGCAGGTTTTTGGGTCCACTGAGGCATGGGTGAAAGGCTGGGGTCTCCGAGGCTCAGGCACACAGGAGGGTCAGGGGAGGGTACCGACACCACCCTCTGCCCCTCTGCTTAGCTCTTTACCTTTTATGGACTCTCTGCTGCGCAGTGCTGCTGCTGGAGACCCAGGTGCTGAGAACTCTGGAGGTTGGGGGCTGGACTCCAGGGACTTCACCATCCCAGAGGGAAGAACTGATAACAGGCGCTGCTGCTTGTAATGGAAGAGGAGCCCTTCCTGCTGCAAGGTGGCCTGGGAAGGAGAGGGTTAAACACCACCTAACCCAGAGCCCCCCCACTCCCCCAGCCCAGTGAGCCCTGCTTGCTGCCCCTACCAGCATGAGGTTCTTGTCCCTCTCCAGCTCATGCAGGCGACGGGTCAGCCGCTGGCCCTCCTCCTTCCTGGCCTCATCCTGCAGGCGTCTCAGCTCCTGATTCCGCTCCTTTTCCTGGGTGGCTTTGCGCTGGATCTGGCGCAGGGAAACCACTAAGAGACAGGAGCAGGTCAGCCTGGAGTTAAACAATGAGGCCGAGTCCCAGTTCCAGATCCCAGGGTCTCTTCCATTCAGCAGGAGAGTTGATCTGGCCACCGGATCTTGGGTGTCTTTGAAGCCAAAGTATTTCCCATCCCTGACCCATCAGTTCCTCAGGTGCTTACATGACTGGTCTTAGTTGGTTTTGGATTAGGATGCACTATGTAGCCCAGGCCGGCCTTGAGCTTTTGATCCTTGTCTCAATCCCAGGTGCTGAGACTATAGGCATGTGCCATCATGCGTGGCTAGGATTCATGTTTTTGGTGTGTGTTTTTTTTTAATTTGTGTATGAGTGCCTTGCCTGCATGTGTGTATGCATGTGCATGTGTGAGTCCCTGCAGAGACCAAAAGAGGACATCAAGATCCCCTGGAGCTTGAGTTAGCCAGTTATGAGCTGTCATGTGGATGCTGGGAACCAATCCCAGACCCTCTGTAAGAGCAGCCAGCACTCAGCTGCTGAGCCACCTCTGCAGCCTTAGGGGTCATGCTCTTCGTGATAATGGCAGAGTGGTTAGATTAGAGAATTTCCTATTTGTAGGCCATGTGGCCGAACCATCACACTGGTCCATCATCACTAGATGATTCAAACTACCAAACTAACCCTGTGTGTGTAGGTACGAGAGCAAGGGTTTTGAGCGTTCTCTGGGAGATCTGAACATCCCTCATAGGCACTAACTCATCCAGGTGTTTCAGTTTCTGATGGGGACAGCTGCCCATGACACAGACACCAGTGGCCTCTGCTGAGGGATGTGACAGGCCCAGGAGCTTGAACCTGCGTTCTGTTGCTTCTTTTGGTCTTTTTGAGACAGGGTCTCCCTGTATTCCACCTGACCTGGAACTGGCTATGTAGACCAGGCTGGCCTTGAACTCACAGAGATCTGCCTGCCTCTACTCACTGAGTGCTGGGATTAAAGGTGTGCACCACCACACCTGGTCATCCAAGCCGTTCCTCCCTTCACTACCTGCATCAGTCTATAAACTCTGAAAACAAGTTTGGGGTGGGGTGGGAACAGCGGTCCATGTCTCAACACCGCCTTCTTCCTGGAAGCCCAGGCAGGGTCCTCCCTGGTACACCTCACCGGCCTTGGCCTGCTCCCTTCGAGCCTCGTTCAGCCTCCTCTTTGTGTCTGAGAGCTGTTCCTGCAGCCGCATCTCCACCTCAGCCACCTTCTCTTGCAGAGCTGGAGACAGTGTGGGTGTGTCAGGAGAAGCCTCCCCTGCAGGGGAGCCGGTCGCTGCCCCTCACACCTTGCCCCCCACACCTTGCCGGTAGATCTCCTGCTGCTGTGTCAGCTCCTGCCGGAGACTGGCGGCCTCCTCGGTGCTCGCCTGCTGGTACTGGCGGGTGGCCTCCAGCTGCTGCCCCACACTGGCCAGGGACTCCTGGGCTTGTTGCAGCTCCTGCTCCAGCTGCTGGGCCACCTCCTTCAGCTGCCGCCGCTCCGCCTCCCCTGAAGAAGGTCGTGGTGGTCGCACAGGCCGTTCCGGGCACCTGAGCCCCAGACCCCAGGTCTTCCCCCTGTCCAGGCATACCTTGTTCCCGTGCCCGGCCCACCTCCTGCTGGATGAGGTGGGCGCTCAGCTGCAGCTCTGCATCCAAGCGGTTCCGTTCTTCCCGCAGCTGCTCCAACTCTAGGCTCAGTTCTGCATCCGGTGGGGGTGGGGGTGGGGGACAGCTGAGACAGAGAAGGTAAGAGTCACAGAAAATCCCCAGCTACCCGTCCCTCCTCAGCCCTGTTCTGGGTCCCAGAAGCCAATACCCGACCCCCCTCGACATACACACACCCCTTCACCTCTCCAGGCGCAGCTGAGCAAGGGCCAGTTTTCGAGCCATCAGACCTGGGAAGGAAAAGGTAAACAGCAGGAAGATGGGTGTGTGGGGACAAAAGGGGGGGGCAGGAGTCAAAATAAAGGGGGTGCGAGGATGGGTCATCGAGGAGAGGAAGGGTGGATGTGGGGTCGGAGGCCAGGGCTGAGAGGGAGAGGGTGAGGGGTAGTGGGGTCAGGGCACAAGCTCCACCTACCTCCAACGGTGTGGACCTTGCGGATAGCATAGCTGAGTCTGTTGCTGAGACTGGGAAGCCGAGCTATGGCCTGATCCACCCTGGTCATGGTGCTGTGGAGGCTGATGTGCGAGCTGGAGAAATCACAGGGCACTCACCCTCCGTCCTCACCCCAGCCTAAAGGACTGCAGGGCCCTCTACAGAGGACACCGTCTATCCTGTCCTCTCCTGTCACACAAGTGAGGGATGTGGGTTTGGGGGTGGAGGGGGACAGCAGTGGGGAAGGGAGAAACCAAAGCCAGGGAGGGGCAGGGCCTTGGCCGAAGGCCGGGTGCTGGAGCTGCCCAGCCACCCATGTTCAAGCTCCTTAGCAAACTTAAGGAAACCGAGAGAGAGCTTAAGCTTTGGTGACTGCCAAGCGATCCAGCTGGGGCTAGAGAGACAGCTCAGCGGTTAAGAGCACTGGCTGCACTTGCAGAGGACCTGGGTTTGGTTCCCAGCAACCACATGGCCACTCACAACCACCTGTAATTCCAGTTCCAGGGGGTGCAAGGCCCTCTCCTGACCTCCACGGGATTGCATGACAAGGGTGCACTTAACATACATGCAGGAAATACACTCATACACATAAAATATTTTTTTTAATTCCTAACACCAAAGCCTGTGGCAAGCGTCTCATCTGGGAGGACATTTGAGACAGGGCGTCATGTTGCCAAATTCACTAAGCGTCATGGCTTTAAATTCACTAAGTAGCCAAGGATGGTCTTCGACTCCTGACCCTCCTTCCTCTACCTCTTGAATGTTAGGGTTACAGGTGTGCACCACCTCACTCGGCCTGCAATCTATCTTTCTTAAAAATAAATATTTTTATTTTATGTACATGTGTATGGCCTGCATGTATGTAAGTGCACCTCTGCTGTGCAGTGCCCAAGGAGGTCAGAAGAGGACGTCAGACCCCCTGGAACTGGGGTTACAGATGGTTGTTAGCTGTCAGGTAGGTGCTGGGAATGAACCTGGGACCTCTGTAAGAGCAGCCAGTGCTGCACCTGGCCTTGGGGAGGCTAGGCTGGGGGGTGGGGTGGGGTGGAGACCAGGTACTGTCTGCCTCACCAGACTCAGGGGGCAAGAACTGTTATTTGTTTGAGGAGCAAAAGCAGATCTGCCCACGGTTTTCTGAAGGTCTCTGGCCCAGGGAGGCACTAGTGACTCTACAGCTTACAGCTTTTCCAACAACCTGTGAAGCTTGTTTCTCACACTTATTTGTTGATTACTGTTACACATCAGACCAAAGTCACCTCTGGAAGGATCCCCGAGAGCAGTCATCCCCTGATACCATAATGGACGGTGCCATGTGCTGTATCAGCCATCTGTCTACAGCAGGGCCCTGTGACTAAGAAAAACAGGCCCACAGGGAGAAGCCAAGGAGCCTGGAGGCTGGGGCGGGGCTGGGGCTGGAACCTCCTCAGAGTCCCAGTCTCCAAGGGAGATGAGGTGAGGATGAGGCCGAGGTTGGCAGCACAGCCTGCACTGTGTTCACCTAGACACCACCTGAGCCGGAGTGGCTGCCACCCAGCGTGGCTCTCACTAAAACCCGGTTCCTCATGAAGTCTCCAGGTCCTCTCGAGGTCCGCTAACAAACCAGGGAGCAACCAGGGATTGGAGTACTCTAGCCTGGAAGGGCATTCTGGTGAGAAACCACCAGCAAGAACCATTTCCGCGATCTGGCACAAAGTAAAAGCCTGTCCACAGCTGTCTCTCTGCTCCCTCAGAGGCAGGCGGCACATACAGGGCGTCCAGTCTGGGCCGCGGTTCTTCAAAGTAGTCTGATCCATGCAAGTTTAACAGGTTTCATTTTTTCCGGTACTAGGGCCTAGGTCTTCTTGCCAGGCAAGTGCTCTACTGAGCCACACTGCAGCCCGCGAGACATTTTAGATGGTATTCAGTAAGCAAGGAGGGGCTAGTTACAAATAATTAAAAGTTTTCCCCAACTAAACAGGGCATGTATGTAAAGGAATAAGGAAAGAGGAAGGGAGGGAGGGAGGGAGGGTCATGTTTCTAGATCCCATCACTGAGCAATTCTGCTGGGGTAGCTCCGCCTAGCTGCTCAACCTAGCTTGGGAGACCACAGCACTACTGGAGCTCAGGATACCCTACTCCAGCCTAGCCACAGATCAGTTCACAGCAGGCGCCGCCCAGAAGAAAGTCCAACAGGAGCCTCCACAGAGCTGTCTCGGCCCTTCCTCCCTCCTCCCTCCTCCGTCCTCCCCCGTCCCCCTCCTCCTCCTCCCTGCAGCCCAGCTCTCCAGCCCAAGGTTCCCCGGCAACTGGGGACCAGCCTCCTGCACCTGCTCCTACACCTGTTACTCCGTGGCAGGTACCTGTTCACAGCACTGACCACGAACTTGAGCTGCTCCTCGGCAGAGACCATCTGATGTTGCTGCTGCCGCTTGGCCTCCTGAGCCCGGCTCAGCTCCATGTGCACTGCCTGGTAAGGACGAGGTTTTTAAGATCTCCTTCCCTGGGGTCTGCTCGGCAGGCCTGGCTGGGCTCCTTCACCCTCCCTTAGTCTCCCTGCTCAGACCTTGGTGCTCATCCGTTCCACCTCCACCTCCGCAGCTTTGTCCTGGAGGGCATGCTGCAGGAGGGTCTGCTTCTGGCTCTGGGCTGTCACTTGTTCCTGGAGCTCGGCCACCTAGGGGAACAGAAGGAGCTGGGCGAGGAAGTCTAGAGCCCAAAGTGATGTGGGGCACAGGGATGAAGGGACAGGACAGACCACACACAGGACAAGCAGCTGGACCTGAGTCCCATTCTCCTTTCTGAAGCCCATTCCACGCAGCCACACTTTGAGAAGACCCCTTCCTCTGACCACGCACGGATGGATGCCGTCACCTCAGGTAGGCCGTCCTGACCCTCTCCTGACCACTTAAGTCTCATCACCTTCTCTTTGGAGCACACACATGACACAGCATGACAGTACCATGTTTACTCATTTCTATGTCTTCATTCTAGAACCTGCTCCATGGGAACACGTGTCTGTCTGCTCAGGACCATGGACCCAGCACGTGGCAGCCACTCAGAAAATATCTGCTGAATAACTGTACTTGTGCAGGATGCTGGAGTCAGAGTGCGGAGGACGTGGGCCCCTAACCTGGTCCCTCAGCCGCTCCATGGAGTTCCTGTGCTCCAGATCCTGTGCCTTCAGCTGCACCATGAGGACAAACACCTTCTCCCGCCAGCGTCGCAGCAGGGATTGACACTTCTTAGGGAACTCGGGCTCCAGGGCATCTGCAGGTTGGATCTGAGTGTGGAAAGAAGGGGATGGGCCTCCTGAGGGGGAGGAAGGACATGACTTTGTTCCTCTGTCTCACTGCAGCAGCAGCAGCCACAGCAAGGAGCCTGGAAGAGAGATCAGAGGTCTCACAGCACACCAGCCCCTGCCCCCCAGAGAGGGGAGCCCTAAGGCAGGGTGAGGGAGGGACCCTACCTTCCTGGTCAGCTCCTCCTCCTGCAGGGCCAGCATGTGCGTGAGGCTCTGCACACGTACCTCCAGCAGCTCCACCTTGGCCTGAAGGTCAGCTCGGTTGTGCTCCAAGTGCTGAGAGAAAGAGCAGCCAGTGAGGGTCATCATGTCTACCCTGGGGCAGCAGCCAGCCTGGGCTCTGGGACAGCACAGCCTCTCTGCAGAACTGTGCTCTCCCTCCGTGGGCTGTCCTCGTCCCCTGACCTGATCCCGCCTGGCCCAGCCACACAGCACTCCTGTACTTCCCTCTACCTGCACAGTGTCAATGAGCTCCTGTCGTTCTGGTTCCCACGCCTGGCTGTGGACCTCAGGAGGCACTTGCTCCCCAACATACTTCCTTAGACTCTCCACCAAGGTCACCTGAGCTTCCAAGTCTTCTTGGGTCTTGCTGGGGTTGAGGCAGACATGGAACAGCCCTCAGTGGAACAGCCTAGAGTGCCTCTCCCCAGGCCTGCCAGGGCCCCCTGGGCCGGCCCTGCCCACCGACCTCAGCTGCTTCCTCAGCAGCTCAGCCTCCTTCTGGGCTGTGGCCAGCTGCTTGGCTTCCTCTGCCCTCCTGAACTCCAAGCTGTTCAGAGACTTCTCCAAACCCTCCGCCTTGCTGGTCAAACTGGCAAGAGTCTCCTGGTGAGCCTTCGTCAAGGAAGACAGCTGTGGAGAAAACAGGAGGGGCCAGTTTGGGGAGTGAGTGGGGCTGGAGAGGTGGCTCAGATGATTCCCGACCTTCCAGAGGACTCAAGTTCAGTTCCCAGCACCCAAGTTGGGTGGCTCATTAGGACCTCCAGCTCCAGGGAACCCAACACACTCTTCTGACCTCTGTGGGCACTTGCACACAATGGCACACACAGACACACACATAAATACAGATAAAATCTATAAAAGGGGAGAGTGCACCCTAATCAGGACCTTGTCCCTCAGAGAACCAGCCAGCACGTCATTCAGCTGTACGCAAATGGAGATGTCTTGGCATCTGGTTCTCACCGGTCAGCTTCAAACAATCGGGGAAGCACTGGTCACTTCCTGTCTCTCCATGTCCATGGCTATACCCGAGGTAAACCTCCTGACCTCTTGCCTGGGCATTGTGGGCAGAGGAGGTGGCTCAGTCAGTAAAGCACTCATCTCATGTATGTGGGGACCCCAAATTGGAATCCCCCAAACCTAGGTCAAAAGCCGGGCAAGGCAGCATGTGCCTGCAATCCCAGCTCTGAGATGGGAGGCAGAGCCCAGAGGGAGCCTGGAAGCTCCCAGGCTCACTAGCCTGCCTACGTGGCAAAGCTCCAGGCCAACGAGACCGACTCAAACCAAAGAACAGGACCGACACTTGAGGTTGTCCTCAGACCTCCACTCTCCCCGACATGTACCCAAACACCTGATGTACACGCACACACCCTTCAGTTGTGCTGGGCAAATGCCTAGAATCCCAGCACTGGAGAGGCTGAGGCAGTCCTCCTGCCTCAAGTTAAGGCTAGCCTGGCCTAGATACCAAGAACCTACTTCAGGGGCTGGAGCGATGGCTCAGAGGTTAAGAGTACTTGCTACTCTTGTGGAGGACCCAGGAGAGTTCCCAGCACCCACAATGTGGCTCAAAACTGACAAACGCCAGTTCCAAGGGCTCCAGCGTCCTCTTCTGGCCTTTGAAAGCACTGTATGCATGCAGTACACACATACATGCAGGTAAACACTCATACACATAAAATAAAAATCTTTTTTAAAAAACTGCCTCGATGGATGTAGTGGCACACACCTTTAGTCCCAGCACTTGGGAGGCAGAGGCAGGTGGAGCTCTGAGTTCGAGGCCAGCCTGGTCTACATAGTGAGTTCCAGGACAGCTGGGGCTACAGGGAGACCCTGTCTCAAAAAGACCAAAAAAAGAAAAAAAAAAGCTGCCTCAGTACCCACCTGCCCCTGTCCCCCAACCTCTGCCACAAAATAATAAAACCCTTCAATGGTTTCTTGTTACACATCATTTTTGGGCAGTTTTCCAATCTTATTCAACAATCAGCAGTCAGTCCCATCCACAATGACTGTCTAGAGTTGGTTTTGAACAAGGTACCAGGACACAGGTTACAGAGCACCGAGCTTGCTTAGCAGAGGGCTGTGCACATTTGGAGTCCTCTCTAACGACACACACGCAAGAAGGCCTTCCCTACTGCAGGCTTCCCGACACCTCCGTTGCCCACGGTGGCCTTCCAGAACCCATAGACTGAGTTGGTGCCTCTGTACACTTGAGACCTTTCCCAGCTGCACTGAACTATACCCACATTAGATGTGTGTGTCCCACACCAGGCTGTCAGCTCCATCCACGAGGGCTGAGACTCAAGCAACGTGGTCACCACACCAGCTTCTGTCTCGGGGATTACAAAGAGAAGCACTGGGCTCACCGATGTAAAAACTTCCCTCTCCCAGTCTTCACGGGACTCACAGCCCCCCTCCTTCCTCACTGCTCCCCACCAAGCTCCCAGGTGAACTGGGTTCCTGGTAAAGCAGGGAGGGACAGCACTTTCTTCTCAAGATGGAGAGTTTCAAGTGTTGGGAATCACTGGACTCCCAAGAAACAAGTATAACCCGAGGAAGGCCAAGATACCCAAGGCTCCTTTCCAAGACCGGGGTTCCTGCCCGGGTACCCTACGATGACAGCCCCTCCCACCCCGTGTGCACTTGGTCCCTGGTGGGAAGATCATGCTGGTCCCTGCGATGACTGAGCCCCTCCCACCTCGTGTGCACTTGGTCCCTGGTGGGAAGCTCCTGCCGGTCCCTGCGATGACTGAGCCCTCCCACCCCGTGTGCACTTGATCCCTGGTGGGAAGCTCCTGCCGGTCCCTGCGATGACAGCCCCTCCCACCCCGTGTGCACTTGGTCCCTGGTGGGAAGCTCCTGCCGGTCCCTGCGATGACTGAGCCCCTCCCACCCCGTGTGCACTTGGTCCCTGGTGGGGAGCTCCTGCCGGTCCCTGCGATGACTGAGCCCCTCCCACCCCATGTGCACTTGGTCCCTGGTGGGAAGCTCCTGCCGGTCCCTGCGATGACTGAGCCCCTCCCACCCCGTGTGCTCTTGGTCCCTGGTGGGAAGATCCTGCCGGTCCCTTCGATGACTGAGCCCTCCCACCCCGTGTGCACTTGATCCCTGGTGGGAAGATCCTGCCGGTCCCTTCGATGACTGAGCCCTCCCACCCCGTGTGCACTTGATCCCTGGTGGGAAGATCCTGCCGGTCCCTTCGATGACTGAGCCCTCCCACCCCGTGTGCACTTGATCCCTGGTGGGAAGATCCTGCCGGTCCCTTCGATGACTGAGCCCTCCCATCCCGTGTGTACTTGGTCCCTGGTGGGAAGCTCCTGCTGGTCCCTGCGATGACTGAGCCCCTCTCACCCCGTGTGCACTTGGTCCCTAGTGGGAAGCTCCTGCCGGTCCCTGCGATGACAGCCCCTCTACTGAGCCCGTCTCACCCCGTGTTCACTTGTTCCCTAGTGGGAAGCTCCTGCCGGTCCCTGCGATGACAGCCCCTCCCACCATGCTCACCTGCTCTTGGTGCAGACTCTGAATCTCCTCCAGCTCCCGCTGGCTCTCCTCCTCCAGGTTTTTCCGGACCATTTCAGCCCCAGCCAAGGCAGCACGCAAGCCCTCAGCCTCAGCTCTGCCCGCCTTCTCAGCCACTGTAAGAGCCTCCAGCTCCATGGTCTGAGCCTCCAGCCTCAACTTCTGCTGCAGCGAGGTCTCCCGCAGGAGCCGGACCTCCTCCTCCAGCCGCCGCAGCTCTTGCAGCTGCCGCGAGATCAGCTCTGCCTGCTGGCTCAGGGCATGAGAGGATCCTGGTTCCAAAGACCTTCAAAGACAGGTGGGCACAGCTGAGACATGTCTGGTACCCCAGGGAGGATGGAGGACAGAGCCCCTCTGCTGCTGTGAGAGACAGGGCTGAAGCTGGGGCTGGGAGTCTGCATCCACACCACCATTCATCAGGCTCCCGCCTCTCTAAGACATCTTGCCGGGCCGTGGATTGGACCAGAGGAATGTCTGAAGCCCAGGTGGGGGCCATTCTCGGCAGAGTTGGAAGGGGTCGGGTTTGGAAGTGAGAGGGGGGAACCAGCCCAGCAAAACCTGTGATCACAAGAGTCAAGACGGTTAGTTTCTCAGAGAGGCTATCCCTGCCCCCTTGACCAGCCACACTGACCTGAAGGTGGTAACATCTCCACATTATTTAAAGGGTCTAGATTCTGTCTCCAGCCATCTATGTTTCCCTGGACAACAGGAGAAACAAGGAAACGCCAATTCAATTTTCAGGTCACCTTCCAAAGAGAAATAATATAATAATGTCAAAGACCTTACATCACAGACAGGTGCACCCAACTCTCAGCTCTTTCTACTTCCCAAAAGTCAGAAGAATAACCAAACCACTGATAGAACCAGGCAACAGCCATGACGTAAACGTACTGAGGGACCCAGGGGTGTTTTCTCAGGACTTGCTCCTAACTTAGAAGACTCTAGATGAGGCCTTTACCTTTCTCTGTAACTGTCTACGGTCCCTGGGAGGTGAGAGAGCGCCCACACAGTGTAGGGGACCCAGTCTCCACAGATCTCTCCATGGTGTGGTAGAACCGTGGGGAAGCCCATCTAGGCACCACCAAGCCATGATTCCAGGATCCAAGGCCTGGCCCAGAAGAATGTGCCCGCATGTGGCGTCAAGCCACTTCCCTAGGAACCCTGGGGATCCAGGCAGCCTAGAGCCCGGGGTAGGAAGCCAGCCTCCTGATGTCATCTGACTCTGTCACCTGCCTCAATTTCTAAGTTCCCCCCAGTTTCCATTCCCGATGCGCTGATCTCCTGGCATCCTATAGCGTCTTCCCTCCCCTACCCTACGCACTTGGATTCATCTACTTGTCACCCAGACCCAGATTCATGTCCCCTCCCGGCCTAGGCTTGCATCTTTCCGGTCCCCCACTGGCTCGCGCCCATCCCTGTGCGCTCCCGCACACACCCCTGGCTCTCCCCCTGGACCCTGGGCCCTAAGGCCGTGATGACCACCTCATCTGGTCCTTTACCCGACTCCTGCACCTCTCTTCCCTAATGCACCCTTCCACCCACCCTAGCACCCCTTCTCAGACCCTTCCCGCCCCCAACTGACCCTTCTCGAACGCCCCTTTCCCAGCGCGAGAGCCCGCCCTTTAGCCACGCCCCCAACACCTAGCTCCGGGCCTGGGCTCCGCCCCGGACGACGCATGCGCGAGGCGGGTGGGTTGGCGGGCCCGCTCTAAAACCCCAGCTCTCCCCTTCAAGGAGGAAAGAGAAAGTTGTGCGCAGGCGCACTGGCGCTTAGGACCCGGCCCAATTACCGCGACAGGTCCTCTCCGCGCGCTGTCGGCTCCTCCTCACCCCGGGAACCCGGGAAACGTCCGAGCCAATCAAAAAGGGAAGAGGGCGGGAGCTGGCTGCGCATCGTCCAATAGGGCGGAGGAGGTCCAGTCAGCTGGCCAATCAGCACCGGCCCCGGGGGTGAGACCTGCTGGCGCCAAGTTGGACCCGGGAACTGCGAAGGCCGAGCCCGCGGCGTCCGTACGCTTCCCGGCTGTCAAACCGCGGCGGGAGAGCCGGGCGCGGGGCTCCTTCCTGGAGACGCCAGGAAGGAGGGGTGAGGCCGCTTTGCTGCAGCATCTAGGGGTGCAGACTAAAGAGCGGGGCGCGGGAGGGGTGCCGTGTGATGTGAGCGAGGCAGCGTCTCCTCTCCAGGTTGCACAGCTGATGCATTCGTGTTGCACGCACGTTGGCACTGCAGGACCCCCCCCCAACTCCTGTCTGCACATCCCCAGGACGCGCCTAAAGTGTCTTTGCTTGCCCAGGTTGCTGGAGGCTCCGCGGAGGTTCGGCGGCCTGAAAGTCCCGCTCAGCCGACGTGCGCACCCCAGGGCGTTTTCCTGCTGTCTTTGCATCGCATCAGGACCTTCCTGAAGTTTTTTTTTAGTCCCAAATCTTGACCGCCCATTTTGCGGTGCGTGTCCCGGCCGCTGGCTGGCGCTCTGAATTTTGCACTTACCACGTTGGAACTACGCCCAGCAGAGCTGTTTACATACATCAGACTGGAACTGAACTGAGGCCAGCGGTGCATGGCCCAGAGGTGGGAAAGGTGATGGACTGCTAACGTGGAAGACGTAGTGCTAAGGGGCACCCCCCATGCTGCCCTGCTTTCAGCTGCTGCGCATAGGGGAAGGCCGGGGCGGTGACCTCTACACCTTCCACCCCCCAACCGGGACCGGCTGCACCTATCGCTTGGGCTGCAGGGCCGACCTGTGTGATGTGGCTCTGCGGCCCCAGCAGGAGCCAGGCCTCATCTCTGCGGTGCACGCAGAACTACATGCTGAGCGCCGAGGGGACGATTGGAGGGTCAGCCTGGAGGACCACAGCAGCCAAGGTAAGCAGCGAGGCGTGATTGTAAGGGGATCCACTGGGACCCCCCACACATACACCTCCCAGAGTCCCTGTAGGAGACAGTGGTGATGTGTCTTATCTGCCCATCAGAACTGTCGGCTTTCCACAGGTCCGACCCGTTTCTCTGGTTTAGCTCACAAGGGACCTAACAATGGGGTGTCAATCAGCAAAGTGTCACCGTAGGGATGTTCTAGTGCCAAACTCAGACTTCCAGCTCTGCGGAGGCACCTCATTCCTGTTAGGTGGTTTCCATGAGTGTCTTAGTGACCTAGCCTGTCTGCCCAGCTCAAGGCAGCCTCAAGTCCAGGCTCACAGCCCAGCTCTGTTTTGTCTCCAAGTCTTACTTTAGTCTACACACAAGGTTTGGCAAAGTCTGATCTGCGGTGTTGGGAGCATTAGGCTATAACAGATAGTAAGTGCTGTCTGTGTTACGGGCCAGTCACTGTTTTAGGTACATTAAATATACTTGGAATTAATACCCTGCTTATCATGAAGTGAAGAAAAATGAGACACGCAGGGGTTGGCATTGCAGTAGTAAAGTATGATGGTGCACACCTGCAGTCAAAGGCTGAGGCAGGGGGATCATGAGTTCTGGGCCAGTCTAGACTAGATTGAGACTGTCTCAAAAAGAAAAAAATGGGAAGACGTGAAGCTGTTAAATGGTAAAGCCAGGATCTGTTGAGTTGGAGCCAGCCCTAAACACAAACACAAGGATCTGCTGGAGAGTACACAGAAAACAAACTTGCTTCCAGCTCACAGAGCTTTATGTAGTCTTCCCCACCTTCCCCTGAAGACCCAGCAGGCCAGATCCACTGTGCTTCTGACATTTCTGTTCTTGCCTCACCATCCATCAACAGGGACTTTGGTCAATAATGTCCGACTCCCAAGAGGCCACAGGCTGGAGTTAAGTGATGGTGACCTCCTGACCTTTGGCCCTGAAGGGCCAGCAGAAACCAATTCCTCTGAGTTCTACTTCATGTTCCAACAAGTCCGGGTCAAACCTCAGGACTTTGCAGCCATTACTGTTCCTCGGTCTAGGGGAGAAGCTGGGGCTGGCTTCCAGCCCATGCTGCCCTCCCAGGGGGCACCCCAGCGACCACTCAGCACCCTGTCCCCTGCTCCCAAGGCCACACTGATCCTCAATTCCATCGGCAGCCTCAGCAAGCTGAGGCCCCAGCCCCTCACCTTCTCCCGTGGTGGAAGCAGGCCACAGAGCCTGCCTGTTCCCACCCCAGCAGAGGAAGTAGGAGCTGCACCCACCCCACCCCCAAGAAACCGGAGGAAGTCTGCTCACAGAGTGTTGGCAGAACTGGATGATGAGAGTGAGGCTCCTGCGGACCCCCTGTCAGTCCTCACGGAGCCCAGGAAGAAGCTCCGGGTGGAGGAAACTCCTCTGGTGTCCAGTGGGTAAGTGGGGCCCTCCCTGCTGGCCTGTCAGCATCTCGCCTCCTAGACTCCTTGGTACAGCCTCGGGCTGTGGGGTCTTAGAAGGTGGAGGTGAGAGGGAGTAACCCGAATGCTGGAAAGGCAAGACCTGGGTTAGCTCTCACCCCTGAGTACATACAGGAGGAAGCCAGTTAAGAATGGTCCACTAGAAGGTAAAAAAACACCTGGGGGGCCGGGAGTACCTCGCTGAGAACATTTCCTAGCCTGTACCAGATTGCCTAGGGTTGAATTCCCCCCAGTGTACATAAAAGGCTGTCATCCCAGCATTTAGTAGCTGAAGCAGGACACAGGAAGATTGCCAAGTATGAGGTCAGCCTGGGTAACACTGAAACACTGTCTCAAAACAGAAAAACCTACACAGTTAACCCAG